GCACATACCGCATCTTGTGACGACCTGAACTCCTTTGACTGCTCTGGAGCGGATAATTTGACAGATTCGAGCTGACCATCGGCTAAATCAGTCCATAGCCGCTGCAGTTCGTTGTCATAATGGCTTTTAGCTAATGCGACAGAATACTCTGTGCAGAGAGCTTCGGCATTCTGAATCGGGAGGGACCATTGAGGCACATCCTGCTCCGCCCTCACGTGTTGGATGACTAGAGGAGATAGCCTTGTGCGCAGAAAAGTGTCCCTATCGTTCTCGGGTAGTGAACTCGCTAGCCAAATTCCTGTCTCGATGTAAGACTTCCAGCCCACAGCTTGATTTTGTCGAAGCTCTTCTCTTGAATTTAATCCATTTTGAAACGCCTCCGTCAACAAAGTCGCACTCGAAAGCCCGATCATGCCGTCAGTAGATGCCTGCGGATCAGTTTTCACCAGCACTTCTGCAGGTATAATCTGCAGTAGTTGGCGAAGATTTGACCAGAAGGAGCTTGGGCCTCCCTGAGAGCCTTTTTGGATGTATTGCAGGAGTCTCTTGGACGGAGTAGTCTTTCCGGAGTAATCTCCCGTCCACAATTGTGGTCGTGCTGATGTTACTTCCAGCAAAGATTCAGAGAGATCCGAGGCTGACCCCAATTGATTGATGGACAAGGATTTGCCAATCAGAGCTGCACTGATGATCCTCCAATCCAGCTCCTCGGGTTCTTTTGCTACTGCAGCCCTAAGCAAGACGTAGACGGACCTGCGAACAAACGGATCGTCATGAAAGCAGAGGGACCACAGCGATTTGCCATTCAGGAGATTCTCCACCGTGGTCAGATCCTTTTGGAGATCTTCGTGAGTCGAGTTTGCTGAACGAAATCAGAACGAGTGAGCAACTTTGGAAGATGATACACACACACCTATGACTCGATTCAATAGCAAGAGTGCTGTTCCCACTACGCGAGCATATTTCGCCTCCGCATCATCAGGTTTCACTGTCCTTTCATCACTGAGTGTTTGAGGAGTCTGTTGCAGAATAACATCATCTACAAAATCGAGAATTGAGCTCTGGTAGACTTTCCATACTCCGTTTCTTTTCTCCTCGGTTGTGAACACCTGCATGAACGACTCTATGGCAGCTCGATGCACTGGTCGATCATTATCGTAGAATCCTGCAAGCCATACCCCAATTACCTTAGGCAAGAAGGGGGCTATCCTCTTGCCAACGACGCAAGCAATGGATCCTTGAACTGAATGAGCCGTCTGCCTCACTCTACGAGATATGTCAATTGAGGCCCGCGGGTAAATTTTGATCTGCGAAACACAATCAACATCGAATTTCTGTCTGCAAGATAAGCTTGTAGTCATACCCAAGCATCCAAGAACCCATCGTCGAGAGTGGCACCATGGCTTGCGATCGTCGATACATAATCTTTAATCTCATCTAATGCTCTTATTCTCGTAACTTCATCCTTCTTCAGGAAGTTCTTGAAAGAAATGGCCAGTTGCGCATCCGCAATCCGCGACAGATCTGGTGGCTCGGTCACATATGTGAGAGAGGAAGGGGCTCTTCCTGAACTCGAGAAGGAACTGGCAAATCCACCAAAAGACCCATATGCGCTGGCAGCAGCACGGCTGCTTGAGGCCTGCGATTTGAACTTTTTACTCATAGCAATGTGGGGTAGCGGAGCAATAGAACAGCGCAAGGAATGAAAAAAAGAGAGTAATATAAGTAATAAATGAGTGAATGGACAAGGGTGTTCGTGGCTAGATAGTCGATGAGTCGCAATCAAGAGAGTCATCCAAGTCCAGAACAATTCTTCGCTTCATCTCCAAATCGCCCTGGCAAACGTCACTGGTCTCTTTCACTGCCATATCAAAAAGCGGCGTGATGATCGGAGTCCTGATAAGGTAGTCACGTGGGCTGGTGTCATCGATCGCCTAAAGAGGAAAGGTCAGCTCGCGGTCTCGCCGTGCTTCTGAAGGTCAAGAAAGAAGAAAGAGAGCTCGTCTTCTGAGGCAGCAGCACCGCGGTGGCGCTCTACTCTCACAATGAAATTCATGATTGAGTAAGTCTTCAGATGTGAAATCAGTCGCTAGAAGGAAGAAACTCCTCTAACAGACATTATCATCCATTAGTGATCTCCCCGTCCTGTTCCCTTATCCTCGTATATACCCCGAACAGTATGCCTACATGTGTGATCTCAAAAAGACCCTCGACGCCGGGGGTCACTGCGTTTTGGAAATGCCCTCGGGCACTGGGAAGACCGTTTCGCTATTGTCGTTGATCGTTGCATATCAGCAGCATTATCCGGAGCACAGGAAGCTCATCTACTGCTCTCGAACAATGTCCGAGATTGAAAAGGCGTTGGCTGAGTTGAAGGAGCTGATGAAGTTTCGCACCCAGCAGCTGGGATATACCGAAGATTTTCGAGCTTTAGGTCTCACCAGTCGAAAAAATCTTTGCCTGCATCCGTCGGTGAAACGAGAGAAAAGCGGCACTGTCGTGGACGCGAGGTGCAGGAGTTTGACGGCTGGTTTCGTTAAAGAAAAGAAGGAGAGAGGGGAAGACGTCGAGCTATGCGTCTATCATGAGGTATGCGGTCATGTTCTGAAATTTGTGGTAAAAAGTCCTGACTCTTTAGAACCTCGACCTCCTCGAACCGCATAACCTCGTTCCTCCCGGCGTCTTCACTTTAGATGGGCTTTTGAAATACGGAGAAGAACACAAGCAATGTCCTTATTTTTCCGCACGGCGCATGGTAATATACTGCTTAGGTCTTTGTCGGTGTATGCTAACACAAGTTTAGATGCCCTTTTGCAACGTCATTATCTATTCCTATCATTACCTCCTTGACCCTAAAATCGCGGAGAGGGTATCGCGAGAGCTTTCTAAGGACTGTATAGTGGTATTCGATGAAGCGCACAACATCGACAACGTATGTATTGAAGCGCTAAGCATCGATATCACCGAAGACTCGTTACGGAAAGCTACGCGGGGGGCGAACAACTTGGAGCGGAAAATCTCCGAAATGAAGAGCTCGGACGCAGAGAAACTACAAAACGAATACTCAAAGCTTGTCGAAGGTTTGAGAGAAGCGGAACAAGCCAGAGAAGAAGATCAGTTCATCGCGAATCCGGTCTTACCGGATGACTTGCTCAAGGAAGCTGTGCCCGGCAATATACGACGGGCGGAGCACTTTGTTGCCTTCCTCAAGCGCTTCATAGAATACCTCAAGACTCGGATGAAAGTCACCCATACTATATCCGAAACGCCACCGTCATTCTTGACGCATGTCAAAGACCTTACGTTCATCGAGCGAAAGCCTTTACGTTTCTGCGCCGAACGCCTCACTTCCCTAGTGCGAACACTAGAGCTGGTTAACATAGAGGATTATCAACCATTACAAGAAGTTGCAACGTTTGCGACTTTAGTCGCGACATACGATAAAGGGTTCCTGTTGATTCTTGAGCCATTCGAGTCGGAAGCAGCCACGGTACCCAATCCAGTGCTGCACTTCACTTGTTTAGACGCCGCTATTGCGATCAAGCCCGTCTTTGATCGGTTCAGCTCCGTCATCATCACTTCTGGAACCCTCTCACCGCTTGAGATGTATCCGAAGATGCTCGGCTTCACCACTGTACTGCAGGAGTCGTACAGTATGACGCTTGCACGCCGGTCTTTCCTGCCTATGATCGTGACGCGAGGCTCAGACCAGGCCCAGATTTCGTCTTCATTCCAGATCCGAAATGATCCTGGTGTCGTGCGCAACTATGGAAACATTGTCTTGGAATTCTCACGCATCACACCTGATGGTATTGTTGTCTTCTTTCCATCTTATCTATACATGGAGTCGATCATCAGCATGTGGCAAGGAATGGGTATCCTAGACTCAATATGGAACTATAAATTGATTCTCGTTGAGACCCCTGATGCGCAAGAATCATCGCTGGCCTTGGAGACCTACCGAACAGCATGCTGCAATGGGCGTGGTGCCATCTTGTTTTGTGTCGCTCGAGGAAAGGTCTCCGAAGGTATCGATTTCGACCACCATTACGGACGTGCGGTATTATGTATTGGAGTTCCCTTCCAGTATACAGAATCTCGAATCTTGAAAGCCCGCCTCGAGTTCCTGCGCGAGAATTATCGTATCCGGGAGAATGATTTCTTATCATTCGACGCCATGAGACACGCAGCGCAGTGCCTGGGTCGTGTCTTGCGTGGCAAGGATGACTACGGAATCATGGTTCTAGCTGATCGTCGATTCCAGAAAAAGAGGAACCAATTACCCAAGTGGATCAGTCAGGCCATGCTGGAAAGTGAAACAAACCTCAGTACGGATATGGCTGTGGCTACTGCGAAGAACTTCTTGCGTACAATGGCCCAGCCATTCAAGGCCAAGGATCAAGAAGGAATTTCTACATGGAGCTTGGCCGACCTAGAACGGTATCGCGAAAAGCAGATGCTGGAGGAAGAAAGAGTGCGCAGAGAAGCGCTCGCGAATGGACATGTCACGAACGGTACTCACAACGGTGGGGTTGTCGTTGCAGACGAATTTGATGACGATATAGACGAAGACCTCATGATGTTGGATGCACAATAAAATGGTTTGGGCGCATACATCATTTCCTTCCACCAAAAGCAACTCTATGACTTTTGAAGCGGATTTTTGCATATTCGGGATATTGGATTATGATACCACGGTAGTTTTCGGTGTATAACCTTTTTCCAGTACATTAGGTCCTCCTACTAGAATTGGAACGGAGCGTCATTGACTTGATCCTTTCAAGAGCTTAATGTAGTATAATTGATTGATCTATTCATCTGCTCACAGTGTAAATGCTATCCGAAAACGAACAAGACTTTTTTCTTGGATTCCGCTGAGACAAACTCCGAATCATAGGACACATCAAACATACAAAAGACATGGATAATACACAAGGAAATACGCAAGCATATACAGTAATTGAAAATCATATAGTATGACATGCACCGAAAGCGCCCAATCATGCGACAGGAGCAAGCACGTCGAAGGCGCCCGTGCCGACCATGCCAGCCCGACCCGCCACGATTCTGCTGCTAGGGCTCTTGAGGTTATCGAAGTCCCTCTCGATCACAGCATCCTTCAGGAAACCGACGGTAGTCTCGAAGCTCATCTTGGCCAGAGGCGACGAGCTATCCTTGACGAGACCGTTACGGTTGAAGGCGCGGAAACCACCAGACTGGGTCATCACATCACCGATCAAATTCAGATGGCGGTTGTCGACTGAGATACTGTGACCCTGGAAAACATCGGACATTTCTCGAACGATGGACGCTCGCGCGGCCTCGACACCGTACAGCATGAGCATGTGATGGATTGAGTTGGTGTAGAGGGAGTGAGGCTTGATGATATCCTGGTAATCGCGCATGGCGAGCAGATTGACGCCCTCGGTGATGACATGTGCGGGCTCGCCCTTGAGTGGGTCCGCCTCGACATACGTACAGTTGCCGAGGCCAGGGATAGACTGGATGACGGCGCTGCGAGCGGCCTCTTCGACCAGAGGCAGGAGGAGGAGCTTGGGAGTGGAGATGTCATACTGCAGCTGGACGACGCATGATGTGCCCTTGCTGGGGTTGAACTTGAACTGTGTGACTTCGCCATATTTGCCCTTGATATCCTCCTCGCGCAATTTGGTGTCTTTCGTCTCATCGTCTGATTCGTCGTCGGAGGCGTCCTCCATTTCGACATCAGAATTCTGGTGACGGCCCTCACCACTTTCATCCTCGTCTTCGTCATCTTCAGCATCCTGCTGTCTGACCATGTCTATTTCTTCCTGCTCGGGACCTTCATACGAGACCTGGTTCGACCGGTTCTGACCGCTCCTCGCCCGCTTGGCGTCGTCTTCATCGTCCTCATCATCGTCTTGTGCGGGTTCGACCTCACGGTCGGGTCCCCGCGGCCCTTCCTCGATGACACCCACGGAAACACCAATCTCAGGCTGGGCGGTCGAGAAGCTCTTCAGAGACTTCTCGTCATTACGTCTCTTGAGCTCGGCTCTGGTGAGCTTAACAAGCTTTGGAATGAACTTGTTCTGCAGAGTGTTTTGGACATCCTTGGTGGTGATCGCATACTCTTTCGTGTACTCCTCTACTGGGAAGAAGGCAATCTCGACGTCGTAAACCTTGGAGCGTGAACCGGCTGAAGCAATTCTCTCCTTGATTCGAACCTTGTCGATCACCTCGGCAATACTAAGCTTGCTGATGGCCTTTGCAAATCTCTCAGAATGTTCCTTTGACAATTCTTCGTTCAAGATCAGCGTCATCGTAGGCGTCATGATGTGAGCGCTTGCAGTCATGACAATTTCACGCAGACGAGGAATACCCAGCGTCACGTTCTTTGCGGAGTGACCAGCCAAGTGGAAGGTGTTCAGGGTCATCTGGGTTGACGGCTCTCCAATAGACTGACTAGCAACGATACCGACCGCTTCGCCAGGGTCGACAACAGACTTGAGATACTTCATGTTCATCAAAGTATTGAATGCCTTCTTACTGATGATACCGTCGATACTCTTTTTCTTGTCTCGAAGAAGTTTGTCAGGATTGGTGTCCTCGTACTGTAGCTTCTATTAGTCTCGAATATGCGGAACGAAAATGGTAGCAAATGTCCCATACCTTCTTGAGCGCCTGCGAGAATGCCTCGGACGTACTACCCAGGTTACCTCCAGGGTGATAAACAGACAGCACCGGGTCCATAGCGTCGACCTTTCCTGTCTTGCGGACCTTCTTCATGGCGTCCTTGTGCCAGTTTGTCACTTCGTCCTTCTCGAGGTTATGGAAGTCGCTTGTAAGGTTGACAGACTGCATGATAGAGACATAGTTCGAAGTCAGGAAATCGAAGTCCTTCAGGTGCACTTGTTTTGTGATATCAAGTCCATCCTCTCCGTACAAGAATTGAACGATGGAACCGTCTGAAGACTCGCGGACAGATGTATCGTACTCGGCTCTCAGACCTTCCATACCCTTGATCAAACAACGCTGCAGATATCCAGATCTAGAAGTTTTGACGGCAGTATCGATAAGACCTTCTCGACCCGCCATAGCATGGAAGTAGTACTCCTGAGGCTTGATACCAGTCAAGAAACGACCACAGACATAACCACCAGCCATAGGGTGGGTATCAAAGGCCCTGAAGGATGGCAAGGTCTTGCCACTGATCATAACAGGCACACGTCGACCTTCCAAAACCTGTTGTCCCAGGTTGCAAGAAATCAGGTTCGCGTTGACACTTGAACCCTTAGCTCCAGAAATCGTCATAGACTGCATCTGATTCCACGGGAACGGCTTGGCCAAGCCTTTTGGAAGACAAGCCTGAGTGATCTCGGTAGAGAGCTTGGCCGTCCGAGCGTTCGAGACACTATCCAAACCACTTTGCTTATCATCGTCCCGGAGGACGTCTTCCAATCTTCGGCGCAGTTCGGCATCTTGATCAGGGACTGTGGTTTGATCGAGAGTCACATACTTAAGCGCAACCTCCCGTCCAATGCTGGCAGCTTGGCTAATCTTCTCTTTACGGACACGATCACCTTCCTTGGTCAACCGAAGATCATCGATACCGCAAGTGAATGCACGCATGTTCAGATATCTTGTCAAGAGTCGTCCGAGAATACTGATCAGCCGTCCCGCAATGGTGTGGCCATAGATCTCATGGATGGCATCAATAAGACCGCCAGCAGTAGGGCCGATTTGCTTCTTATCGAGAATACCACACAGCATCTCGCCGTCTTTGAAGATTACAGTGCCTTCCTCGTTGCCTTCGCCCCATCGGTCTCCAGGAGTGGAAGACTTGCTCTTCAGGTTGAGACCTGCTCTTCCCGGAGGCATGATGTTCTTGAGAATTGTTGTAATCACTTGCTTTCCAGTCCAAAGACGCTTTGGTTTCAACAGAGTAGGCTCCACAAGCTGAATCCGTTCTGTGATGGTATGAGAGTTCTCAGGTCTGAGACAGCTGTAGAGCAGCTCATGATAATCCTCCTCATCAAAAAATGCGTCTCGACATGTGAACCACGTTCCCATCGAGATGTGATCTTGGATCAAACCTCTCAAAGGCTTACCAGATGTCGCCACAAGATACTGGTGGTCGGCGTCAGCAAGCATCATAGCTTCAGCTCGAGCAAGTTCGTTCTGAGGGAAATGCATATTCATTTCGTCACCATCGAAGTCGGCGTTGTAGGTGTTACAATTAGCGTAGTGCATCCGAATAACTCTCTCATTCGCCAGCACACGAGCCTTATGACCCATGATGGACGGCTTGTGAAGCGTAGGCTGCCGGTTCATGAGGACGACATCACCAGTGGTAAGGTGACGGTAGACCTTCTTGTTACGTGCTCCCTTCATCCGCCAATTCGACGGTGCCAGCAACTGATTGGCCAAAGCTGTTCGCTCGTCAAGACTCTTGAATTTGAGGTTGGTCACTTGGCCCAATTCATTTTCAATCGCAGTAGCGCCCGGATATTTGTCTGGACCATTGATGACAGCTTGCTTCATTTCCCAGAAGTTGTGATTCGTCACAGGCTCTGGATAAGTGAGCTTTTTCGCGAAGACCAGTGGAACACCAATCTCGTTCGTTTCAATATTGGGATCGGGAGAAATGACACTTCGAGCAGCAAAATTGACACGTTTGCCCATCATGTTCTTTCTGAACAAACCCTCCTTCTTTTCCAAGATCTGCTTGATACCGTTGGCGGCCTGGCCTGCTGCCGGGCCCGATGCGCCTCTGTCCTTGTCAATCAACCCGTTAACAGTATCTTGGAGCTGTACGATAGCATGAAGGAGATCGCGATAATCACGCATTCGAGTGACTGAATCGGCACCAGCATTCTGTCTTTCCTTGCTGATTTGATTGATGATGTCACAGTTCTTCAGAATGTGGGTGAACGGGGTATTTTGCTGTGCTTCCATGATCTCACCGGGCCCTTGAGGGGCAGCAGGTCTATATTTATTTGGTGGCACCAGGATGTTTTTGATGAAGAACATGTCCGCACTGACTTGGGCTTCCTTTTTGGGAAGAGGCCGAGAGTTGTATATAAGGCTCAAAATCTCTTTCTCCTTCTCGAAGAGCAGTATCATCGCAGCATGCACTTCTGGCGAAGGCATATATTGTCCAGCATCGCCAGCTGCTGACTTCTTACTTTCGGCTTGTGCAACGACAGCATTACCACGAGCAACTTCTTCCTCAGCGCCATGTGTTTCAGAAACTGTACTAGCCGTATCAGAAATGCCATTGGCCATCGACTCTTTTGCCTTCGTGTTCAACTTCTTTGCCTGCTGGAGAAGAATGAGGGAGTTCGGCGCTTGAAATCCGGCCTGTACCATAGCTAGTCTGGACTTCTCGGGCAGAGGCTTTCGGAAAATCTTCGAGAAACGGTCTCTCCGGTAATTAGGTGAGATTCTTTCGCACCTCGTCAGCAAACAATAAATAGCAGGGAAAGGGTGATAACGCCATAACATACCCGCTGCAGCTGCTGCATTTTTTGATGCTGACGAGATCCTTGAAGAACTGCTTGACCAAAGTCCGTCTCTGCTCCGCAGCCATGGGATTCTTCGCACCAGACATGATACCCTTCAGTCTGCCGGCCACATGTGCCTCCCGAATCACTTTCTTGACGTATGCGTTCCTGCGAGCGACGAGGTCATCGTCGTCTTCTTCCTCGCTGCCGGAATCGTCGGCGTCCTTTTCAGACTTTTTCTTGTTTCCTTGACCAGTCCCCATCGCCTCTATGGCCTCAACTTCGTCGACTAGTCCGTATTGTAGGAGTCGTAGCTTGCACACATAGGCATTGATTTGGACCCGGGGCATCTGAAAACGATGGCAGTAGACACATTGCGCTCTAAGTAGTCGGTATAACTGGTCGAAGAAGGTGACATTGTAAACGCGAACAGGAAGCTCAATATGTCCAGGATGTCCAGTACAAGACCACGAATTCTGACGGCAGGTCGTGCAGCTAAATGCGGTCAGCGCAAAAAGTCCAAAGTAGCGATAGCCAGCGATAGGTCTGTTAGAAGGGAAGAATAGCATAAGTGTTGGACTTACACATGATCTCCCCAAGCACCCAGAGCCGGATCGTATAAACCACCGGGGACAGGATTATTAAAAGAATCCAAAGTCGGGGTATTGTGAATTCGCTTTACGGAAATGGACTTGACATCTTCATCCGAATAAACTCCGAATTCAATACCCGAAATTGACGAGGCCACAGGACGTGCAAAGGTCGCCATGATTATCTGCAGCTCCTTGAGCGACAGAAATCGCTGGCAGTGCGATTTTCTTTGGCTGCTGGCCTGGAAAAATAAATGGCGGAATCGTTTGGCCTTGATGCTGCAAAAAAGTTGACCCCCAAGAACTTTTTTCTGCCGAGCGCTACCGCCAAGCGGTCCACTCATGCTCTCCCCGTGATTTACGATTGATTTGTTCCGCATCATAATTATCCACTGTCCATCGATTCCACCTCCTCTGTCCTAGCTACATCCAAGGGGTTGTGACGTTCGTCTTGTCACCTCTCATATATCAGTCCTCTGTCATTAGTGGGTGAGTGGAACGTGGTTGAGTCATGGCGGACGTGTCAGGCAACATGCTGAAGCGGCCTCATCCCGAGGATGAAGACAATAACGCACAGAAAAGAACTCGTTCCAACAATGGGTCGCCGTTACCAACTCAAGGAGGCCCTGCCTCCGGAAAGGTGGACATCGAGAAGATGGTGGCGGAAGCGAGAGCGAAGGCAGAAGCCGTGCGCGCCAGACTTCAGGCCGCCAGAGGCGGAGCTCCAGCGCTCACACCAGCAGCTCCAAGCCCGAGTCCTACACCTCCTCCCGCTACCTCAGCAATGTCGAAGCTAGAACAAATGAAAGCGAGAGTTGCAGCAGCTACCGGACGTGCCAACGCGGCTGCTCAGCAACGGACTCCTGTTCCACCTCCACCGCCTCCCCCTTTCGACGACGACGATGGTTCGTCAAGGGCCCGCGGCGGCCTGGATGTTGGCCTTCATCCTGCGCTTCTCTCAGATACTACAGATTTTCGAAGTGGCAAAGGGCGGCTGTCAGCTCAGTCCAAGTTTGGGACAAGCCATCGGACTGAGTCTCCACTGCCTGGCACGAAGGATCGAGCAGGACTCGATTTGTCAGGGCCTTCGCTCGAAGAGATCAAGAACAACCCCTACTTTGATCCAAGCCTCGGTCCTAAAGCTACTGTCGCCAAGCCCAGACAATCACGGCAACTGATATTCAATCAGAAGGGCAAATACATACAGCAGGCGGCAGCTCTACGTCGGCAAGCCCAATTAGAGGCTATGAAAAAACGCATCGCAGAAAGAGCACGACAGGCTGGTATTGATGAGGATTTGGATGTCGAGAAAGCATTCCTTGTACCTGCGCCTCCGGCCATCGAATGGTGGGACGAGGGTTTGGTGAATGGCAACGATTACTCTGCTATCGATGACGAACGCAACCTCAAGATCGACACCCCCGATTCTATCGTCACTGTCTACGTCCAGCATCCGGTCCTTCTCGAACCTCCTCAGGAGAAGCATATGCCCGGACAAAAGCCGATGTATCTTACACCGAAGGAACAGGCAAAGATTCGCCGTCAGCGACGAATGGCCGATCTCAAAGAGCAACAAGCGAAGATCCGATTGGGTCTCGAACCAGCTCCTCCGCCAAAGGTCAAGAAATCGAATCTCATGCGGGTTCTGGGTGAACAGGCTGTCAAAGACCCTACGGCAGTCGAGGCGCGTGTGACCCGAGAGATTGCAGAGCGTCGCGAAAAGCACGAGGCTGCCAATGAGGCTCGGAAATTGACAAAGGAGGAAAGGCGAGAGAAGATTGCCCAACAACAGGAGAAAGATGCTGAACAGGGTATCCATGTCTCTGTATACCGAATTGACAGTCTTGCAAATGGGCGCCATCGTTTCAAAGTTAGCAAGAATGCTGAACAGAACGCGCTCACTGGAGTCTGTATCATGCATCCTCGGTTCAATCTGGTCATTGTGGAGGGAGGTGCCCACTCTATCAAAAATTACAGGAAATTAATGTTGAATCGGATTGACTGGACAGAAAACGCGGCGCCAAACGGTGTGCGAGAAGGCAATCGCGAAGCTTCTGTCTCGTGGCTGTCAGCAGAAGACGAGAAAACTGGTGGATTGAAGGATCTCAGCTCCAACACATGCAACCTTCTATGGGAAGGCCAAGCCAAAGCTCGTTCATTCAGGAAATGGTTGGGTGCTCGTGTTTGTGAGTCAGACTCGCAAGCGAAAGACGTTTTGGCTCGAGCAAAGATGGAGAATTTTTGGGTCCTGGCAAGAAGCGCGAAGCCCAAGGAATTGTAGATCACCGAAGGTATCGATTCTAGTCTTCTTGCGAAGAGACCTCATGACAGAGATGTAATCTATTGGAAGCATTGTAATCTAGAAGTAAAGCAATATCATCATGAGCCACAACCATCCATAGCAACCATCCTGTACATTCGACAAAACACCAAAAGAACACACAATGTGATAAGGTAACTTTTAAATCCCATCCGATGCAAGATTCATTACGCAAACCCCGATACCGTCCATAGCCGAAGAAGAATAACTGTCTGAGGATCCAAATGGTATCAAATTATTATGAGCGCGGCGGCCCTTGATTCGCGTTGCTCAGATGCCGCAAAAGATCCAATTGAGCCTTGACCTGATCGAAATTCATTGTCGGATTCTGCACCTGAGGCTGCCCAGACGTTTGTTGTGGTTGCTGCGGCTGCGGCTGCTGCTGCTGCATTGCAGCTAAAAATAGAGGGTTGATGGCAGGGAAATTTTGGTAGAAGTTCGGCTGCTGATAAGCTTGTTGGAAGGGCATTTGGAAGTTGAATTGTGTCGGTAAGTTGCCTTGAGGAAATGCTAGCTGAGGCTGCTGAGCAAAAGGTTGAAATTGCTGAGGCATACCATAGATGTTTTGCTGAGCCGGAGGATAGCCCGGTTGCTGGTTATAGTCGGAGGGTTGAGCCTGGGCTTCGAACGGTCTCTGTTGCTGAGAGTAAGGCGGACGGTCGTGGTATGAGCTATGCTCACGAGTATCTCTTGAGCCTCCTGCTCCACGGCCACAGTTGCCTCGTCCACGATCAGAGCCTCTACCCCGACCCCTACCACCACGGAAAGCAGGATTCCTCGAAGATCCCTCGCCCTCGACAGGCGCCTCTTGTTGGCCCATCATTTCATGCAGATTCTTCGGGCGAGCAAGTGGAGTGTAGCCGTCTTCGGCTGCCGGGGTATCGTCGTAGTTGAGCTCAGTCTGGCTAAGTTTCGAAGGACCAGGTGGGCCTTTCCTGCCCCTAGACGGCCCACCGTTTTCATTCCTGGCTTCCTTGCGCTCCTGTCTCTTCTGCTTCAATCTCCGCTTGTACTCGGCCTCTGCTTCGTCATCTGAGAATTCTATCTCATCCTCACCAATTTCTTCGTCATGGAAGTTCGAGGCATCGCTTCCCTTCAATCCTTTCAGAGGCTGAGTGAAGACGAATGTCGAATGAGCCTCAACATAGTACACATTCTTTCCCTTGGAAAGACCACGCTCCTCGATAGCGGCAGCGCTGGGGAATCGAACCGCATACAAAGGATTCTCGACCCGTCCCAAAGTCTCTGATACCACACCAGCGACTGTTCGATCTTCAAAGCAGAGCAGAGAACCTGACTCGAGCACTTGGTATTCTCCGGAAACGTTGGCTGCGATAAGAACGGTGTTTTCAACGATGGTTTCCACATGACCCAGAAGCACAATCTTCATATCAGGCGTGATAGTCATTTCGGGGATTGGAGGGGCTTCCTCCGGTAGTTCGTTTGCGGTCCTGAGGTTGCCGCCTGATCTACCTTTTCCTTCTCCCTCATCATCAGAGCCATTCTCTGCCATCATCAGAATCCGCGCCGTTTCCTCAGCGGAGAGGATCGGATAGTCTTCGTCGTCGTCGTCATCGCTATCATCGGAAGAATCGGTGGTAGAATCGTCAGACGATGATTCATATGGTGAAGAATCAATCTCCCATTCGGGATGCTCCTCTTCCTCTTCTGCAGCTTCTTGATCTTGCGAAACACTTGTGGCTGCACCATTGGTATTAACATCATTGCTAAGAGTTTCCTCTGCGGGCCGATTTTCAGCATTCTCCTGCTCAGGCTGTTCCTTGCGTGGTTCTACATCCATCGGCTGGGCGTCTTCAGAAGCTGGCGCAGTGTGTACCTGGTTTGTTGTCTCCGTCGCATGCTGTGTATCCGTCTCCGTTACTTCTTTTCCAGTAGTCAAACCGCGAGCCATTTCGTAATGCATGCTCTGTGTTGGAGCAGATTCCTCCTTCGCGGGTTGCAGGTGAAGATTGTCATTGATGAGACTCAATCCTGGTATTAAAGCAGCAGGTTTAGACGATATTGCCGGCGCGCTAGTCATATCCATATCCGTAGTATCTTTAATCTCGCTGCTATTGTTCACTGGCGTTCCTGCCGTCCAGGGAGTGTTGTAGAAATCACTGCCATCGTCCACGGGTGTCGATGCGACGGGTGGCGTATCGTTCATGCAGGGTCGTTTCGCTGAAGGGCCTTCATCCACGACCTCTGAAGCTCCTGGAACATGCTCGGACGGCTTCTGTTCAGTCATTGTAAGCCTCAGGCCACTGGGGGAAAAAAATCCTAAGTGATGATAGAACAAAGTTGTTTGTGAAGAAACTGATTGCTCTTCACGGGAACACTTTTTTTTAGATCTGCCAAAAGTGCCGCTGCGGCCACCGAACAAGCTTCGTTATCGTTATCGTGTCCGTTCTTGTGATTTGTCCAGGCACAACCACAGTATCAAACTCCATCAAAGCATCCAGGGTTAATAGTTCTTCGAGTCTCTGTTCTCCAGAACAATCAGCATGGCTCCGGCCAGAAAGGAGACGCAGTCAGTAAATGGCTCTCAAAGGAAGAAGCGACGGTATCTCAATCTGAATAACATCTCCCACGTTCCGGCTAACAATCTGTGCCCCTCGCAGCTCCCGACCAGTTCCTTTCTATCTCCCTTTGAACGTTACACTATATGTGTTCCTTATTTCCAATTTTGTCGCAGCTGCACTCGCTCCGATTCAAGACTGCGATGAAGTCTTCAATTTCTGGGAGCCTGCGCACTACCTGGGCCACGGGTACGGGCTGCAAACGTGGGAGTATTCTCCCACCTATTCAATTCGGAGCTGGCTCTACGTCTCTGCCCATGCTGTGGTTGGCAAAATAGTATCTCTTTTCTCGAGTAATAAGACAGCCGAGTTCTATGCTATACGCTTCGTTCTGGCAGCAGTCTGCGCCGCATGCGAGACGAGACTATACTCGGCAATCTGTCGGACATTGAACCCCAGGATCGGCCTCCTCTTTCTGATCATTGTTGCTTTCAGTCCGGGCATGTTCCATGCGTCTGCATCATTCTTACCGTCTAGTTTTACCATGTATACGTCTATGCTAGGTCTTACATCCTTTCTGGATTGGAGGGGAGGCCAGAAGACGGCGCAGGGTATCATGTGGTTCGGTCTCGGAGCAATCGTTGGCTGGCCTTTTGCCGGAGCTCTGATCATTCCTCTTCTCCTTGAGGAGGTCGCCATCAGCTTCATTGCTGGCTCTCTTGGAAGTTTGTTTGTGGGTATATTCAAGGGCATTACGAAATGTCTCGCTATCCTGGTGCGCTTCTTCCGGCTATTCGACCATCCGCGGTTCTCGCTAACTGATATAGGCTGCTGAAATTGCAGTTGACTACGCGTTTTTCCAGAAATTCGCCGTTGTGCCGTGGAACATTGTTGCTTATAACATTTTCGGAGGCGAAGGCAGGGGGCCTGATATCTTCGGTACAGAGCCGTGGACGTTCTACATCAGAAATCTGCTTTTGAACTTCAATATTTGGTTTGTATTGGCCGTGTCAGCCGCGCCCATACTTGTCCTCCAGGCTACATTCCGTTCTCAAACCACCAATGTCCAAACTCTCTTACGGACCGTGACTCTGGTGACACCATTTTATATGTGGTTAGCCATCTTCACTGTTCAGCCTCACAAAGAGGAGAGGTTCATGTACCCCGCCTACCCTTTCCTTGCACTCAATGCAGCCATCTCTTTTCACATGATCCTCTCTTACGTCGGGTCAAGTAACCCCAAAGAGATCATTGGACGATTGTCACCGAAGCTCAAACTGACCATGGTGATGTCTGTGCTTCTTATGGCTATCAATGCCGGGCTGCTACGGACTCTTGGTATGATCACGGCGTACAATGCGCCCCTGAAGGTGATGGAGCCGCTGCAACATTTGGAGATGGCACAATCCGGTAGCTTTGCGTGCTTCGGCAAAGAGTGGTATAGGTTCCCATCATCATACTTTCTTCCAAACGGAATGCGTGCGAAATTTATCAGAAGCGAATTTCGAGGGTTGCTTCCTGGAGAATTTCCGGATGCCCCCAGCTATTCGGGTCTCATCCAAGGCACCTCGCAGATCCCTGCCGGCATGAACGATCGGAACGAGGAAGACCTTGGTAAATACGTAAGTAATCCTCGTCACATCTTAATTCTTCTTCCCAAGCTGACATGGACTAGGTCGATATCTCTCAATGCTCGTATCTGGTGGACTCGTACTTCCCGGGGCGAGCTGCCACGGAACTTGAGCCTGACTATGTGCACGACGAATCAGAATGGGAGGCGATAACCTGCAAGGACTTCCTCGACACGTCCCAATCAAGCTCTCTCGGTCGATTGATTTGGGTTCCTGATTTCCCTATGTTGCCGGCTCGTTTCCGCAGAAGCTGGGGACAATACTGTCTTCTCCAGCGGCGGAACGCCAAATCAGAGTCAAAGTAGACTTGGCGTGATATCATTGTCACCACCATCTCTCTTAGTGTATATATTTCTCGAGCCGTTAGCCAAGTTCGTGCACCACATGCGATCTCGCAGGCGAGACACCGCGTGGTCAAGAGAATTACAGGCGGCACTACAACCTTACCTGATTTGGATAAGAAATCCCTTGCGTCACGCCAACACTGAAGGCAAAATAGAGATAAGATACCTCTCCGCACGGATGACGCCCAGACAAGCTTACAACCTTACGGACAAGCTTCTTGTTTGGCCAGTCGATGGTCGCATCGGATTAACGCAAATGGAAATCATCCATGTACTGTCAACCAAGGCGCCTCCTCTATTGAGCTGGACAATGTGCATACAGAAATGAAGTGGTGGTGGAGTCTTATCTGTTCAGCGTTTGTCTCGTCTGCATATAATAGCAATTATCTCTGGTGTTCACGGTCATAGAGGAATTCAGGTCACCCCTCCTTTTGATTTTTAGACGAGAAATGAAATCATGCTTCCTGAACTTGTGCAACTCGGCCAGCTTCACATCAAACATGCAGCATCTCTGTGTTTGGTAGCAACCTTTATCTGGCTTGCTACTACTGTGTTTCGCTTCTCGAACAAAGGAAGTGACAGAAGATCAGCTCAAGATCTCGAGAGGAAATCGTCTTCGACATCAAAGTTTCAAAAGCCTAACAGGAAACCCGGAGGTAAGACACGCCTGTAAAACGTATCGGAAGCTCGCGACTCACTGTCTCTCCAGAATGGATACCCTCAGACTTCAAGAGGCCGACCGCCTCTCCATATCCGGACTGGGATGTCCATGCGACCAAACCGATCCCATATCGACCTTTCAGATATGGCCCGTGAGTCGCCTCTGGTGTACTTTCAGATTCACAAGACTGATGAACACAGGAAGTATTTCATCACGATGGGGCTGAGAAGCATGAAGTGGGATGAATGGATCGGTAAGGCATCTTCACAGGTCACATCCATGGCTGCAGAGAAGCTGACAGAAGCTCTAGAGCTGGACAACCACTACCTACGGTATCACGCCGACAAAGCACGTCGAATCAAGGAAAGGGGAGCGAAATGCTGCAGAACCGGCCCCGAGGCGATGGACGGCGCGATTGAGCTGCTGGAAGAGCTGTGCGTGCCCAACACCCTCTGTTCCAGACAGCATAACACACTCTAACAACACAATCATAGCTCCTCCTACCTCCCCGAAAGATACCCCTCCATGTTCCGCAAAACCGCAACAGGCATCGACAACACCATCACCGGCGAATCATTCAACATCACCCAGCGCCCACTCCCCGAAGACCCGATGGCGACCTGCGCGCGGCTCGTCCAAGACGACCTCGCGCTCATGTTCGAGAAGCCAGACGGCGAGTACTACCTCCTCGCGGGCGCGATCCTGCTCGCCGGCTTCTGGCGCCTCGAAGACAAATACGGGATGCGCCTATCAGAGATCCACACCTCCGGCGACGTCCCCGGCTTCAAAACGAAGCTCGAAAAGGGCATGATGAACTTCTTCCGCCGGATCAGACCCGAAGACCCTGTTCTCCGCAACAACTATTTCATCCAGGTCGACGACGAGCTCGCCTGGTCGCATAGTATCGGGTCCGAGGACGCGCCCGAGGTCTCGTGGAACACCGCGCAGAAGAACAAGGCGATCGAGCACCATTACTTCCGGTCGGAGAGGCAGAGTCTGCGCCGGCTGCCGCGGTCCGGGGCGGTGGTGTTTACCATCCGGACGTACTTTGAGCCTATCACGGAGATTGTCAAGGAGCCGTACGTGCCTGGTCGGCTGGCGTCTGCGATTCGGAGTTGGGATGGGGATGTATCGCGGTACAAGGGGCGGGAAAGGTACGAGGAGGTGCTGCTGGAGTATCTGGATAAGAAGCATGAGGGGCAGGTTGCTGCGGGCCTGGATATGGACAAGGAGGATGAGGTTCGGAGTTACCCTTTTTGATCTTTAATTCCCGATGTTATGGCTCATATTCATTTTTCGTATACTACGGTAGGTTGATATGCTTCATGGATAATTCTGTCGTCGAGTAATACCATATAAACTCACAGTCTAGTGATCTATCTCTAACATATGTAACAGGCCCCCAAAGCGTAGTCCAAATGCAAGTCGTAGACCACACCCTCAAAGCCTGATATCGCCAAAATCCAAGCAGAACTGCACACTGTATGATTCACACAGCAGCAACATCAAGAGCCTTCGGGCCCTTTTTCCGCCTCGCCATGGTCCATTCTCTCTCCTGGCGCCAGGAGCATTCCTCGCGGAACTCGCAAATACGGCACTTCCATGCTTCCATGACTTCGACGCCGCGCGGGTCACGATTACCGCGCCACCAGTCCATCTGATCGGAGAGATAGGATGACATGGAGGTCGGATCGAAAAGAAAGCTACGACTGCCCAGGACCCGGGTGTGGAGGTCTGCCGTGGGTGCGGAGGAGAGATAGCGAGCTGTTAGGAGAGGGGATATGATCGTCGGATATGGTTCTAGCATGCTAGGCTGAAATTCCGAGGGGATAGAGGGTGCAACGGAGACGGAGGGTTGCGGCGAGGGAAGGAAAGTAAGGCGGAGCTGGTCTTTCATGAATTTCCAGAGACTAGACAGGTTATTGTGTGCGAGGAGGATACTGGTTGAGTCCTGGCTCGCGGAGGGAATAGATGCCGGTGATCTGATGGACGTTCTTCGTGCGGCGTCTTCTGGCGAGGGGATGAAATCTGGATCGAATTCCGAGGCTGAAAGGGCGTCGAAGAATTGATCATTCAGGCCGCCGACTTCGGCGATAAAAGCGTCGGTGAAAGTACGATGAGGGTCTAGGTCGTAGCGGGAGGCAAGCGTCTCGATGGATACCTCATCAGTGGTGGTGAGACGGTTCAGCATGTGGTAGTAAATTTGGAGCTGGAGCAGCGTTGGCCGAAATGACGTGCTCTTGATGGTGGGTATGGAGCCGCTGGCTCGCGTTTTGATGTCTGTGAGGTAGACTCGAGGGATGTTGAAGGAGTCGGACGATTGGGTGCTGGGAGGATCCTCGACAGGCTCATCAGGCTCATCCTTCCACGTCATCTCTGACAGCCTCTTCCCGCCCTGTGAGGGAGCTAGCAGGTAATCCGTCAGAGACATCTGATACTCGGGCATTACCGCCCTCGAGGCCTCCACATCGGCATAGTATCTGGCGGCTGTCGCCTCAAGCTCTGGGTCCGGGCACTCATACGAGAGCTGGTCAATGACTCCATTGACCAGCTCACCGTCCACAAGACCCCAGACCTCCAGCTCCCGAGTAAGACCATATTCTCGCAGCGTCCGTAAGCCCTGTATGACATTCCACAGCCTCAAAGCCAACGCATCTTCCTTGGTTGTGATTTCCACGGGAACAGTGGTATGTACCTCATCCTCCAGCGTTTTGTGAATAGTACTTCCCTGCTTCATAGCAGGTGTCCTTCTCTTCCTCCCATGTTTGGTCAAGGTATACCAGTACTGTAGCTCGCACCATGCAGGAGAGATCAGATCCGTGACGGAAAAAGCCTTGTTGGGTGGCTTTCTGAACCGTTCAATGGGTGATCGAAGATCGGGCGCGGGACTTGTTCTCGAATCACCGATCCATTCCCGTTCACGGGCTACGTCTCTCTCGCGCTGTCTTTCGCGGCCTTCGATGGAATCCGGATGCTCCACTAAACGCTTGAAATCAACCGTCAGCTGCTACTCAACCTCATTACACAAACAAACCAAGCAGACTGCAGAACCAAGGAATATCCTCACCAGACGCGGCGCAAACGTTGCCCGAGATCTGATCTGCCCTTGCCCCAGCAGACGTCGAGACCTGCCAGGTCTTGCGCTTCTGCCATAGAAAACCGGGCTTTTCACGACCCAGCACCTTAGGCACTCGTTGACTTGCTGGATTTTCAGCATAATCTTCAATATCAGCGACGGCAGTGACGGTCGCCTGTACAGTTTTTGGGACTGTCGTTGTCGTTGTCGTTGCCGTCGCGGTAGCCTGGACGGTCGCGTGTTCGGTGGCGACTTGGGCAAGCAGATCGTTCAGCAGCTCTTCTTCATCCGGGGTAAAGTCGGATCCGTAGTCACTGCTATCGTCGAAATCGCCCGGCATTACAATATAGGATGTCGGAGGGCAGAACATGCCCGTAATGATGGTAATGAATTCATTTCATGGGTGGTGAGAAGAAGAGGATCTGATCACTGATGAAGAACTTATCGAAGTCACTACTGCCCGCCCAACGTCATCCCCGCGTGTCCGCTTAAATCTTCTGAACGATCACTGAGAGTTGATTCTTGGATTGGGGTATAATTGTATGATAATAGTTTTACTCTATGTACTCGTTGAAAATGCAACGCTCAAGAAGACAATGATGATCTATCGTCTATTCAAATCAATCGCGCCTTGACTATAAAATATGCAAAGAGGGTATGAAAAGCGCAATCGTGAAAAGGTATCTCATGCTTTTATCGTTGTCGAAGGGCTGATACTGCCCGAAACCAGCACATGAGACAAATGCTCTGACTCTGCCATTTCCGCCTCGACCTCCCTGGCGGCCTTCTGATTCAACCAACTGAGATAGGTCTGCCAGCCGACGGCGATGACACCGGCGAAGATGCTCCGGAAAGGCGGAGACACGTACATGAAGCTGAAGGCCGTGACAGCAGGCCAGAGCTTGACGCTATTCGATATACTGACGGGCAGAGCGACCTTCAAGCGCTCGAATGTCTCTTCCAGGGATGCGCCAGCGAGAAGAGAGTGTACACTGAAGAAGTACGTATTGAAAACGGGTGTGAAGACAGCTTGTTGTATGGAAACTTTGGTGAGAATGGAAAGGAATTTGGACTGGAAGTTGAAGTTGTTGTGAAGGAACATGAACCTAGTGACGGTGCATCGCATCAGCCAGATGTGCTCAAGGTCATCGGCAGGACAATACTTACCAGTTATAGGACGGAATGGCGGATCCCACACCAACCGTCAAATGTCGCATAGTTCTCAGAGGATCGTACCCTCCACTCGAAGCAGCCTTATCCTCGCCATCTTCTGCCGAGTTCGCAAGCTTCTCTTCAGACGCAGCCCGTGATGTTTGCGCCGGGCTGTCAGAGGGGAACAACAACTGCGCACTCAGGTCGCCGCATAGATACACCACAATAGAGCTGACAACTTGCGTCGTATAAGGTCTTTTTTGCTGTACCCTTGTGTATGATTCTCCCAATCTACCAATCGGTCCCGCCTGAATGGCCTGGAAGAACGTTCGCGAACTCGAGCGGGCGGGGGTGGAGGTGGCTGAAGGTGTGCCTGCGGGTGGACTGGTATTTTGAGAGGACGACGATGTGGATGACGACGGAGCACTCGGTTGCGGAACGTTTGCTGATGTGTTGTTCTTCTCAGGGACAGAATGAGGTGATGGGTCGGAGGAGTGGTGTCTTATTTGTGATCGCTGTGACCGAGATGTTCGTCTGCTCAACTGCCTCACAGTCGCCCTCCCATGTTGCAAAAGATGACCCATAAGAGGCGATGGGATAGGTATTATCCCAGTCTGTATATGTAGCGACAAGCAAAGACAATCCTGGATCGATTGGCGATTTGACTCAACGAGGGCGATAAGAAAGGTTGCGCAAAAGACCGACGATAAGGCGCAACTCGATCGTTTCTGGTCAGCAACAGAGATCAACAGGATCAAATGAATGGCATCAAAAACTTCATGAAATGCTAAAGAATGATATGGAGTAAATGAAGAAAATAACGACTATGTGCCATAATGTAAGAGAGAAATAAGATTCATCTGTCATGCATAGAATTGGAGTCAGAGATAGTCGGCATCTCAGGCTAACCGCTGCCGAAAGACCGCAACTTTCCGATTCGATTTGGAGTTTGTTTAGGGCGAGGATATAGCGACACCACCTGGCGCCTTACCGACAGCCCCCTTACCCAATCGGGTAAGATTTGGTCATGTTCAACACAGCCAAAAGCATCATCTGGTAATCCAAGGGCTCTGTCTTTCAAGAGTCCTTGTCCCCTCTGAGTTTTTGCCTCGCTTGGGTCCGCGAATAATCCCAGTACAATGCGAAGAATACGAGGACCAAAACCCGGCCAACTAGCTGGTCAGAAGCGAAAGCAGGACGAAGAGCTCTCTACGAACCCGAATACAAAGAAAGCTCGAGATCGCCTTCAACGGATGACTGATGTGGAGCGGCAGGTCGAAAATGCCAAAAGTGCAGACCGACAAGCTGTCCGGCGCGCAATCAAGAAGCTCGAAGAAGACAAGAGCTTTCGGGATGCTTCCGCAGAAGAAAAAGCTCGCCTGGTGGCTGCTACTAAAGCGAAGGTGATGCGAAAGAGGTCGATTGATATCGTGACCCTGTGCTTATTTAATTCATACTGATTGGTCTACAGGAAGCAGCACGGTAGAGCGGCAGAGTGTGTTGCAGAGCGCCTAGGCTACACAGAGGAATCGGATGTCGAGGAGGATGAGGGAAACCGCGCTGGGGACGATGTCGAGGAGACCGACACAGCTATTCAAGAGCAGTACTTGCGACGTGATCATATTGCGAACCCAAACGCTGACGCCATTTCCGATAAGCCTGAAGTGAAACATAGCAATGGATACAGCACGTTAAAGCCACAGGGCAAGCAGATCAAAAACGATTTGATATGGCGATCCTGGGCGACCTTCTGGAGGGATGCTGTCAGAGATTTTGCTTGCAAAGTCGACCGCCTTGCTAAGATGTCGTCGGAAGAGATCCTCGCTCAGCGGCCACATACATACTTCTCAGAAACCGACAGAGCCTGTTTCCGCAGTCTTCAATTCTGGCCGGAAGTCTGCCCAGGATCTTGGGCTGAACTTCCAGGCCCCGCAAGCTGGTGGGATGACGACTATGACTTTGCTAGATATGGTTGGGAGGCAGAGGACAATGACCCAAGGACGATGAGCGGGCGACGTGATGCTCTCGACATGGTTTTTGCAGCAGAGATGCCGACGGATTTTCCAGAGTACTTGTTCGATTTCACTGAGCTAAAGGTCCTCCGCGCTTTGCCTGACGATTTCCATCATTAGTTGCGTTGCGTTGATGATGTCAGGAATATTTCTATCGATGTGCAGTAAATAAGTATTTGACCATCTAGGACGCAAGTCGACGCCATTTGGGAAAAGAACTCAGCCATTGAATGAGCAATAGATCTCTAATTAGATATATGTATATGATTAGCTGTACATGATAAATACAACAATACTCTTCGAGTGCAAAAACGCCATCTATAATGCAAACATAAACAAGAAACATGAGCTGAGTCAATATCAGTCGGGTATATGACTTCTGAACAAGGACAAACTTTTTCTGGCACCAATGAAGGTGCATATGCTCTGGCCGTAACAATTCGCAGGCGCACCAGCGTTATTATGAACACTTGGAAATAAGGATTATTCGATATCAATAAATATGCGTATGTATGAGCATCGAAAGATGACCATGGTTGCGATCCCGGTCACGTGATGGCAGGGTATGCCCTGACCTGCACGCTGCTAGTCAAGCAGGTTTGGGGCGTGCTCGAGAATGCATCGAGCAAATCATCGATTGATGGTCGAAGCTCGATGAGAAAGAAGGATAGGACAGGTTCTGGGCGTTCATTTCTTGAATGACTCGCGAGTGTTAACACGGTCAATATCGTAAGGATTTCCCTCGTAGCTGAGGGTGCGACGCAACGAAGCAGCCGTCCGTGTGGAAGCTCTACTGCGCATCTGCTGGATATTCGGAAGTTCCTCGATGTTGGACTCAGTCTCGCTGACATCAGATACCTCAGGGGCAGGTGCCTCAGTCCGGTCAAAGACTGGCTCCTCGGTCTCCACAGGCTCTGGCTCTGGGGCTTGCTGCATTTGCTCGATCATCTTGCGCATGAACGCATCCGATTTGGCCGCATACTCGCAGCGCTTGCGAATGGAAGCGCCGTATTTGTAGAAGAGAAAAGGGAACGGAACACACGCAAGCGCCAGAAACGCCGGGATTGAAGACGCCCAATGAATTCCTGTTTTCACAATTAGCCTCTTGTCAGCAAGAATAGGTTAGAAGGAAAATCTCACCTAGATCCGAATACATATAGGTAGTGAACAACGGGAAAACGGCGCCAAAGATAGAACGTAGGACGGAATTGGCTGCGAGGACTGAAGCCGCGAAAATGGTGTAGGCGTCGATGAGGTAGTTCATGATGCCCAGGAAAACCAGCACCATACCAAAACCGAACGGAGCACCGGCTATGATGCAAACAATCCAATGGATCGACGGATAATTGGTCCAAGCAAACCAGAAGAGTCCAATAGGGATGGCAATGGAAGCAATCAAGGTGGGCGGCAGGCGTGCCTCAGGGGGAGCGAACCCGCCGTGCCTCTCTTGAGTTTTGACATAACGCTTGTTGTCCCAGACACTGTAGGCGACAGCAAACATCATACCAACCATGATTCCCAAGAATGGAAGACTGCCAACGCCTTGGTTCCAATGACGGACTCCCTGGAAGACGATCGGGTAGGCAGAGAAGAGCATGTAGAGCGTTCCATAAATGATGGCCATGTACAAGCTCAGGAGAAAGACGATCGGTTCCTTGAAAAGCAGAATCCAGGGGCGAGACAGCGCAGTCTTGAAAGCTTCCTTGAGAGTAACTCTGCCCTGGTCAATGTCGATCTTGCTGACGTACACTTTACCGGTGTGCTTTGACAACTTCTCAGCGCGTCGACGCAGGAGAACAGGCGCATAGGTCTCAGGAACGAAAAGAGTGCAGATAATCCAAACTGCGCCTGAGAAGGCACCCAAGAAGCCCATGACCCATCGCCATCCTGCGTTCATTCCGAGGAAGCCACCAATGATTGGACCCAAAACAGGACCTGAGAAGCCTTAGCATGACGATTGATACAGCACAGTGTAGAACGAGACATACCCAAGAATGGAGCGGCAGCGAAAAGACTCATCGCCACACCTCTCTGCTTGGCGTGGAACATGTCAGCGATGACACCACCCGCATTGGTCAAAGGTGAGGCTCCGAAAGCACCAGCGAAGAAACGAAGGATGATCAAAGTCCAGCTGTTTTGAGAGCCAGCACTTCCAGCGTTAAAGGCCGTGAGTGCGCAATAGGTGACGGTAAAGATGATTTGACGGCCGAACATCTCACTCAGAGGCGCCCAAAGCAGAGGTCCTATGAGCTGGATTAGCCTCTGACAGGTAGGCTTCGAACAAAGACGGCAAACAACTCACCTATAGCAAACCCCAAGACGAAGAGGGAAACACCGAGAGTGGCAACCTCACTTCCAATATGGAACTCCGATTCAATCTCTCGAACACCACCGGTATAAGCTGAAGAAACCAGTGCGACTGCCAGTGTGGAAACCGCAACAGTCATGGTCAATGTCCATTTGCGCACTTGAGACCATGTCATAGGATTGCGAGGATCATTCTCAATCCAAACAACCGCGTATGGATCCTCCTCGGTTCCTGAGCCCTTGTAAGGATAATCGATGATTTCCTGGGTGAGGACGCCTTGATCTACCACCAGCCGCCAGTAGGGAATCTTATGTGTCATGGGCCGTTCGATCTTTTCGGGGTTCTGGTCCCCTTTTTCGGTCGCCATAATGGGCGATTGATCGGTGCGGAACTTGAGCGAAGGTGCGGATATATACGGTTTGATCGTGGAATATTCGGGAGTACTATATATCTGGATAAGAGGGATTCGAGATTGTTTGTTTTTGAAAGAGCGATTGTGGTAGATGAAGAGAGATTAGGGATTCCGGTAGTATGAATAGTAACCGCCGAATGCGGTAGATGGTGAAGTATAGCGTTCTGGATTAGGAAATAGTCGAGGTTGTACTGTATGTACAGAAAACGTAAGGGAAAGAAATGTACGGGGTATCAATAACAAGATAAGGTTACTCGAGAAGATCAGAACGAGAACGACGAAAAATGAGGAGCACCATACATATATAACTTGTCTCAAGGATTATTTTTTTCTCTCTTTTTTTTTGGTTATGTATCTCTTGTTTTTTGATTTCATGGCACCGTCACAGGGGAGTCATTTAGTCTCGGACCCCTGCCGGTGTTGGCACTACGCCCTCCCGTATCCATAGATAGCCCGTAAAGAAAAGAAGAAGCAGCATAGAAACCCGTTCGAGGCCAATCACCGGGTCGCGATGCCGGCATTCATGGCATTAATCGGGGTTATGCTCAACATTAGTCCATCACTTAGCGTCGGCCTTGGCCGATGTGGAGCATCCGCCATCAATTGAAGCTCGAGATCCCAAGGATTCTGGATACATCGTGGTCTGGATCATTAACACAGTAACACAGGTAGAGTTGTTGAGGTTATTTTCTTCAATGTGTCAATACGAAGCAGTTTGTGATCATAGTTGCATTCGAGCTTTGTGTATGGAGTATGGATCAAACTGCAGAAGTATTGTACTGCAGCGTCATCGGTCATCAAACCTCGATTCTAATGCATACTATGAACTATGAAATGTGCCAGGGTTTTGCATAAAATATCTGTTTCAGGACTAGCGTCGCCCAGCACTCGGCTCTCCGGCATCTTGCTTACTGCGTAGTCAATCTTCGCTTTCAGAGTTTACAACCCGCTGCCACTGCTGCTGCAAGGCCTGATCATCAAATCTCCGTAAGACAGGTCAATAGGTTGAGACAGTTCCTTATCTCCGTTAAAGATCATGCTGTGTAAGCATTATCCTCACTTGGTTATCAATCACGTATAATGTTATCCCCTCTGCCTGAGCCATGTAATGGAATCTTTGAGACATCGAGCCTCCGCCGGTGATTTTGGCCGAGGCTCAGTTGATTGATGTGGTGAACCTCCTGGATGTTTCTGGTTCTGGTGGCGCCACCGAGGCTAAGCCCTCAAAACACGGTCTTGGCATTTTGTCTATGTGCCGAATTTTTCTTGCTTGACATTAATTTGCTGAGTCCTGATATGAATCATCTCTTGGCAATACAGGAGTAAATCTTATCGGCCAGGGTTCGAGTCAACACTCAAGAGACGATCATGCCGTCATTCGTGATGATCGTCTATCAATCAATCTCAACCTTCTCAGAACTACATCAGTGAAGGCCCGAAAGTTCGCGATAGAGGACTCTAGGTCAAACAGACAAGTCTGGATCATGAGAATCGTCTATCCATCAAACTCATTAGCCTACGAGTCGTGTCGGACGATTTATCAGTCCATCCCTTTACTGACCCACTCTCATTTTATCGCAATGAATTGATACCTTACATTCATGAATCATTGGGCTGCATAACTGGCCATGAGCACACTAGACATCAAATGACACCTTCGCGTGGACCGCATTGTGGAAACATATAATCTATATCGTCCGTGTAATTGTTCAGAGTCATCTTCTTCCTAAGGTATTACGCTCTAGCAACTCAGTGTCCTTGCTGTCTGCGGTAGAAATATATCGTCGTATTGGTCTATATCAAGCCGAGTCCAACGCTCAACGCTTGGGGCTCTGTCTGTTCTGGAATGATCTGAAGTGTATGCGTGGTAGCGTCTGCAACATCCATATCCTGCACACTAGGCCTTTGCACTGGTCACCAGTTCGGGCCTTCAGGCACAGCCAGCTCTGACTGTGTGTATGAGCCAGACGAATCTAGTAGTATCTAGCATTATTTCGATCTCAGACTCCACCATAGCCATAGGCCCATAGCATGGATCCGTAATCCTCGAGACTGTGTTAGTTTAAAAAGGCTACTGCGATGATATCCCGACTTAATGTTATGCAGGAAGCACAATCTCATCAATACCATCTGACTCCACCTAGGAACATACAGATAGCACTCCAGACCAACAAACACACATTACTCTTATACAGCTCAAAAAGATGACCCATACCTGAGTGCCTCAGTAATGTGTCCCAAATTAGTGATGTTGATGATAAATCAACCTAAAGCAGTGTGGCCTCTAACCGAGGCACCTCTCCCTTTCTTGTCAAAGACTGATAGCACGTACCATCTTCCGTAATCAAGCATGTAATTGGGCGGCCGATTCATTAAGCAATTTGTTCATATAAAGAATTCATCTGATATTTCTGCTTGTATTTAGGATTATTGTCTGAGGTAGAATTAATCTCACAAACTCAGAACTCGAGATCTTGCTGATCCCTCATCAAGTCCTTTGCTCGGGAGCTTGCTCTCTTCCTCTTCCCCTCGTCTCTCGATGGAGTCTGCTAGTCTTCGAAGACAACATGTCAAATATTACTACAACCCAAGATCGACCGCCACCGCATTATTTTGGCCTAGCAGTATGATTCTTGAGACAATGGCTGGATCGACAGACCTAAATGCGGTCACCCACTCGGGATGCAGCCACTGCGAGCCCCACCCTCTTTCACCTTCTTAGTAGAGGACGGACGAGATAGAAATTAGAAAATGACAAAGAATTCAGCATCAGTGGAACCTTGCATTTAGGCTCATGAAGTACTCCCTCTTGTACTCCGTATGGATGTTTTGTTTCGAAAATGCGAGCTCACCTGTGCAATGACAGCAATGCTCCAATCGAAAGTACGAAATGTGTCAGCTCGCGGACGAGGATTCAGCATCAGCCTCTGTGCGATTGTCCCGGGGGATATCTAGATAAACTGTGAGCAATAGAATCAACAAAAAAAAGCTAACTCGGGCATACGAAAGTCATTATGGAGAGTCTTGACCACATAGGTGGCACGACCTAAGGGCCCCAGGTTCGATGACTTTGGCAAAGGGATTGTTTTTCTAATAGGGACTGGCAGGCGCTTTCTAGGATGCCCAGCGATCGCATAATTCATGAAGCTCGAAGGGAGAACTCCGGCTTGGTCAAAGTCGATCACCCAGAGCTGGCCGTGCTTATCGATAGGGAAATTGCTTGGGTGCATATCTGCATAGTAGCATAGGAGCGGTTCAGTACTGAAATCCAGCTTATCTTGTCTCCCCGTGACACCGTTGTACCATTCTAGGCACTATCATATGTTAGTTCAACCAAGAGATTTGCTCCCCAATCAAACCTAGAAAAAGACCTACTCTATTGAGATAATCTTCAAGCTCTGCGGCGGAAGAAAACGGAACAGGAGGCTCGCTGTCTCGGAAGAAATGATGCCTGTAGGTGCCACCAGTAAAGCTCCCAAAGACACCAGGTGGCGGTGGGATACTGATCAACTCGGAAAGGGCTTGTGCTCTCTGTTCATCCGAAGCAGTTCTCTCAAAGTCGATTTCAATATGCTCCATGACTATGTAGGTATATCCCCTGCCATTGCCCCTGCCCCGCCCACTTGAAAAGCGTGGTAGACCTCGGGAATCCGGATGGTGGCGTTGCCTCTTTCCATACTCTTCTGACGGAAGAATACCTGCGCGTGGGCTTCCTCCATTGTGACATTGTTATATTTGATAAAAAAGGTATTGCCTTCCGCGGAATAGGTGAGGGTATTGAAGTCAAAGCCCTTTTTCTTGCAGAGGCGCACCACCACATCCTTGGGAGGCAAGCCAGGGATGGCAGGGTTGAAAATTTCGCTTCGAGTAGTCGACATAACGGTAGCACTGTTGTGTTGCTGAAAATGAGGGATGAAGGTGAGGATGATGAGCAGGATGTAGAATCATGGATGAATGGTGGGCTACCTGATGACAAAGCAGCCCCGGAACATTCCCTCGGCGAGGCACAAAGTTCAAAAAAAGATTAGTGAAGGTAAAAGCTAAGGCTGCCTCTGGGTGTGCTCTGCCCTCTAGGCATATAATAGTTCCGCCCCGCCCCTCCCCGCTCTTTTCCCCCCTCTCGGAGAAGAGGCACATCTGCTCCTCTTCTTGCTGCTAGTGCTAAATGTTCGAGCTAGACCGATGTAGCGGATGATAAATTACCGGGTAGAGTGACCTCTAGGAATTAATCAATGTGCACTACCTAGGCAGAAGAGGGAGGCGAGGCAGACGAAAAGGCAGTATTCAACGCAAGTTAACCTACTTAGATACCTAGGTAAGTATGTAATTTGGGGGCAAAAAAAGGACCTGCTCTTCATATTTGCGGCTGGAACCAAATAAGCCGCCCTCTACTTCTCTGTTCAGCCACTCTACCACCTCATTCTCACTGGCCATCCCCTCTACCACAGCTTGTCAAACAACCCTTCGCTCTTCTCTAAGTTGCTATCAACCTATATGGCAAGGACACGCAAGTGTCAACACAAGCCAACTCTATGAATAACATGATGGCATGTACAATAGTCAGGGTCTGGATGAACTGTATTTAGGCTGCAACGACAGATCAAGGACTGCTACAGAGCATCTTTCCAGTACAGGCCTCATTGCTGCGAGTAGCTGCTCTCCTTCTTGAGACCCCAGCAAGAAGAGAGTCTCTACTTTATAAAGAGCTACTGGTAGTTACCTTAGCATAAAAATTCCAGAAAAACATACAACAGGATGTATATGTCGGTGTACCCAACCCAGCGTCTGTTCCCTCGCTGCTTTACCGCTCACGTTCCGGCGTCTTTAGGTGAACATTCAGGTACCTGAATATTTTGCACTTGACTATCAAGACAGAAGCACACCATGACACCCATGTGAGGGAGATAAGATGTTTAAACCCATAATGTGTCCATCCTACTCCTACTCCTTCCTCCCTAACTCAAAGCTAATCAGACAGTATGCCACAGAAGCCGGTAGCAAATTTTACAGTCATGATCGACCTTAATAATCATGATGATAAAGAGATCAAATGAGCGGTTCTTCCATGAACAGCTAAAAAGTATGACTGAAGTCTGATGATTTTTGATAGGTAAGTCTTTTTGATCTACAGAGGCTCGCCTCTCATCCCTGCGGCGGTGCGGCCCTGGCTGCTCTCCCCCCGATATCAAAACTTATAAAGGGTTTTTGGAATTTTATGTAAAAAACACGCCAGGCTGGATTAAGGAAAAACCTACACTAGAAACTATTAAGAATTTCTGCTGAGAACTTTGAAATAGCTTTAGCTTAGGTAAGGGACTTCTGTGTCCTAAAGAGCATGTCTATTACTATAAAGGAGGTATATATTTTTAAGCCCAATATAGAGGTTTGGCGTCTGCGAGACGGTAAGCAACGATGCCATTCCCCTTATGATCCGTAGCTGCTTTTTCGAGGAGTTCTGATACATGGTGGAACGTCATTTCGGCAGGAGGGTTAGGGGGAGCTATCCGCTGTTGGAAAGAGAGTCACAGGAATCAACATCCCATGCAGTACGAGACCAGACTGAGATGAGAGATGCGTTGGTACTATGTATAAAAGCAAAACGAATCCTGGAGGCAATGAGAGCTCGTGGCGCGGAGTTCCTCAATGTGCGTTATATGCATACAAGAGGCAAGAGGGAGAGGACAGAGGGGAGGAGGGAAAGCCTCTAATAGATAATCCAATTCTTCCAGCGCATAAGGCAATGCATGCACACATGCTAACCATCGTCTGATTATGAATGGTGGCTCGAAAAGGCGGGAATCCCCAGATACTACACCCAAAGGCTGCTCAGCCATTCACGCCCAGGTAGTGAACCATAAGCTCCCTAAGAATCTGCAAGGAGGCTTGATAAATTGAGACTGTATGCATCAATTATAATCCTTGATAATGGCCCCGTTGAATTACTGAATCATATACGTAGTAAGATACCAGAGCAAGTTCGCCATAACTGTGTCAGCCTATAGTATCAAAAGATCGGCACGAATTTTGATATACGGAGTACTGAGATTGCAATTCCATGGAATTCACACCACACCGCTCATTCAGCGACAATCCAGCCTGTTCTGCTTTGGAGCATCCATTGCATTCTCTCTGAGAGATACAAATTAGTTAGTTTGAGCCTGCAAAGTGGGTGATCGGCTGAAGAAAGGGTCGTGAACCCTTCTCCTGCTTGTTTGTGTATAACCGACTGGCCTATGGAATAGGTAATGGGAATCCTTCTTCAGGGTCTTGATGCATTTCTGAACCCTGGCCATTCGCTTTCCTGTGTCTAAGGATTGGAATGATCATCGCGTCCTTGCAGATAGAGATCAAGGCGTCTGAGTCCACCGTCAGCTGACACCTCAACAGCAGTAGCAGCAAGAAAGGCTTTCCAAAGGATAATGGTCATGCATCACCAGTTTGCTTCTCATCAGCCACCTTCTATATAACGAAATCAGGAAGCAACCCGGGACCGAATCGGCAGGGGCTGAAGCAGGGATAGCGACAATGCCAGGAACAGTCAAGACGACTCTCAACTACTACCCTTCGTCAGGGTTCAAAGAGATGTTACTAGGCACGCTGGAGATGTTCCGCCGCCCTTTCGACCCCCGAGAAGTCGAGGTAACGGACATTCGTGGACGAGAGGCCGACTTTCATCTGGACACTCACGGCTTTGCGCTGCACCCGCACGTCAGCTGCTACATTCCCTTTGCGGAGGGGAGTTCTGTCGTTGAATACATCTACCCGGAGACAGAGCTACTACTGAAGAGAATGTGAGGCAGACTGTATATCATCCGGATGCAGAGGTCGCTAACATGGTCCAACAGAATGGGCGCCACGCGAGTAAATGCCTTCTCAACCTTATCCAGAACGCATCGTTTGAAGAAATGCAGCAGAAAGCCACAACGGCCCTTCCCGGCAGCAAGTTAGCCGGGAATGTCGCACCGGCCCGCGCGGTGCATATCGATCAGTCTACCTCCGGCGCTCATGATATTCTGCGCGACAACCTGGGCCCGAATGAGGCAGAGCAGTTCCAGAAGACTCGATGGGCAATCATCAATGCATGGCGGCCGCTGGAGCCTGTCCGCCGAGATCCCCTTGGGCTCTGCGATGCCCGTACGGTCCGTGAGGAAGACCTGGTAGACGTTCAAACGTACCTGCCATCCTCAGCACAAGACAAGTACAAATCCCTCAGCAAGGAGCGTCGTTTGGCAGCATCCGGGTCAAGTATTCCGACCGCCATCGGTGGTATTACGCGTCCGGGATGACACCACAGGAGGTCCTCCTCATCAAGATTTCCGACTCCAAGAATGACGACAGCCTAGCGAGGAGAACACCGCACTCATCTTTTTCAGACCCCTCCACAGACCCGGAATTGCCGCCGCGGAGCAGCCTTGAGGTTAGATGTCTGGTCTATTTCGAGAATGAGCAGCCTTAGTTTCGCAATTCATTACTTTAGGCAGTCGGAAATGCCATTACTGAACCTTCAGCATGCCTTATATGTCAAGCATGATCGGGTACCGCAAAGGCACTGGAGGGTGCCTAGGAGGCGGGGCAGGATAATCCGTCAATAGTCGCCGAACTACCCAAGGAAATATATCAGGCCCTATCCACGACGCAAACCAACAAACCAAAAAGCTGCACCCACTGGTGCCTTGTGAGGCCCTTTGGCTTGTAGTCCGTACTTATGCTTTTGTCTCTAAGTTCGAGGGGCGGTTGATACCATAAATAGAAGTCATGCTAGTCACGCGTGCGGCTGAGCCCAACAAGATTGCCGCCCACAAGGCTGAATTAGCAGCGATGTCTGCACTTTATCTCTTCTCCTTTTCCCTTCTCTTCAGCTCACTCGCATCATACAGTTTCCTTTGACGGGATTCAAATCTCTCGCTCCTCGCTCGAGACTATGCCCTGACTACTCTTGGAGCAAAGTAAGACTACCTAGCCTCGCCTTAGTCACTACCGACTAACCAAGCATTCCCAATCAGATCAAAGTCGAAAGCAATCCAGCATAAATAAGCCATCAATATCTGTCGACAGACGAGCTCCCTGCAACCTCCAGAACGATCGAAAAATGTCGGAGAGAAACAGAGAGATCAGTCATGACAAAGAACCTGTGTTCAGCAAGAAAAAGAAGAACGCAGACTGTACATCTCATTTGATACAGCTGACGCACAATGATTACACTGTCGGATGGGTCTGCGCGCTGCCAAAGGAGCAGACCGCAGCAACGGCAACACTCGATCAGATACATCCAGATCTACCAAAGCCGTCAAATGATCACAACATGTACACTTTAGGATCCATTGGGGGGCACAACATCGTTATAGCCTGCTTACCGAAAGGTAAATACGGCACTAATTCAGCATCGATAGTCGCGACCCGGATGGTTGGCACTTTCCCATCCATCAAGGTCGGCCTTATGGTTGGGATTGGTGGTGGTATTCCACCGAAGGTTAGACTTGGAGATGTGGTGGTTAGTGCGCCTGTTGATCAGTTTCCTGGAGTGGTTCAGTGGGATATGGGCAAGGCAGAAGAGGGTGGCAATTTCAAAAGGACTGGGGCACTGAATAATCCCCCAAGCGCGCTGCTGACAGCATTGACAAAGTTGGAGACCAAACATGAGATGAGCGGATCCAAGGTACATCAATATTTGGACGACATGGGGAAAAGATGGCCAAAACTAGTGCCGAAATACACCAGATACGATTCCCTTAAGGATCCTTTGTTCAGTTCAGACAGCTCCTCCAACAGACCGAGTCAGCCTCAAGAAGTACACATCCATTATGGCTTAATCGCATCCGGTAATCAAGTGATCAAGGACGCCAAGCTTCGTGACAGTCTCAACGAGAGTCTCGGCGGGAATGTCTTGTGTGTTGAAATGGAGGCGGCAGGGCTCATGAATGATTTCCCATGCGTTGTTATCCGGGGAATCTGTGATTATGCCGACTCACAAAAGAATAAAGATTCACAGGAATATGCAAGGTATGCTGCAGCAATCGCGGCTGCATATGCGAGGGAATTGCTCGAGGAGCTACCTGTGGCCAAAGCAGATGCAAGAGATACCTGCATGCCCAATCCTCGTAAGTTAGCTTAATGTGAATCCCAGTTAATAATGGTATTAAGCATTGAATTGAGGCCAACTCCATCAATGAATTTGCTGACACGCATTCTGATATAGCGAATGAAGAAAGCCAAGACGCATTTAAGATCGAACGGGGGAACTTCGACGTGGAACTGGTTCCCTTCTTTACGGAACGATCTGTAGAAATCAACCAGATACGGCAGCTTTTCCAGCTGAGTCGTTCAAAGACTACTGTGGTTTTGTATGGTTTAGGTGGCATTGGCAAGACACAGATCGCTCTGAAATACGCGAATGACTACAGAGATGAATACTCTGCCATTTTTTGGGTTAATTACCGAAGTACAGACACTGTGAAGCAGAGTCTATTCGCAGCCGCAGAGCGAGTCCATCGGAAATACCCCTCCTGGCCTGGCTTGAAAGAGGCTTTAGAATTTAATGATGTCAACAAGGCATCCTTGACCGTCATTGACTGGCTGAGTCAGGATCAAAATAATCAATGGCTCGTCATTTGCGATAGCTATGATCAGTGTCAGACGGACGACTCCAAGCAGGAGAATTGGGATCTTCACAGAATGCTCCGAGCTCATCATGGCCACATACTCATCACATCCAGATGCCGACAATCGGACCTATGGCATCATGTTCAGATAGAGAAATTTACGGACTTGAGCCAAGGAGTAGATTTACTGCTCAAACGTTCCGGCCGGGCATCCTTACGTGACGGTGAGTGAGGCTTCTCAGCTTGCGTTGAACTGTGACATTGATATGGCTTTAGATCCAGATATACAAAGACTGGCTCAAACATTAGATGGACTACCACTCGCTTTAGTGGCAGCGGGTGCCTACCTAGGCATCTGCCTATACAGCTGTTCAAAATATCTCAGTGTGTACAATCAATCATGGCTGCGGCTGCTTAAGGAAACACCAACATCCGACGCGTATGACCGGACTCTCTATTCCACTTGGAATCTGACTTGGGAGCGTATTTGTACAGTCAACAAGCTTGCTGCAAACCTCTTGCAGTTCTGTGCCTATTTTGACAATAAAGGTCTCTGGTTTGAGCTGTTCCAGATGGGCAATGGACTCGACAAGCCTGAATGGCTTCAAAGACTCACAGAAGATGAATTTGAATTTGAGGTCGCTGTGCGGATTCTCCGTGAGCATGCGCTTGTCGAGGAGCAGCCAGGCGTGAGACATGACAAGAGTGGTTCAATTAGGTTCAGTATACACAACTGCGTGCATTCTTGGACAATACATGTCCTTAATGAAAACTGGAACTACGAAATGTCTTCGTTAGCTTTGGGCTGTATTGCCAGCAAAATACCGCGAGAAAGCACTCCTTCGTTCTGGCACATATCGCAGGATTTACTAGGTCATGCGAACTGCATTATTGATCTCTTCTCTCGGAAGCGGCTCATTCAGGGCTATACAGAAGCCCAGGTGGAGCAAATGCAGGATGTTATTGGTTTCTTCCTTGCGCGAGACAGACCAGAAGCTGTCGAGAAGGTGTGCATAAGCCTCCATGAACAGGTCGAGAAAATGTTTGGCTACTATCACCCAGCTACATTTACCCTCAAGTGGCTCATGATTGGCATTTTTACCCGCCTGAAAAATTATGACGAGGCAGAAATCTTGTGCAATTGTACCCTGAGCCGGTTCAGCGACGACCCTAATGTCAATGAAGGACGTGCGAAACGATCGTTCACTCTTCTACTGGCACAGATTTTTATGCTCAGAGGACAGACGGGAAAGGGCGAGGCCCTGTTATTAGGACCCTCAACATCCTCCCAAGACGAGGGAATATCGGGTCTCCTATTTGAGAAGAACCTGATATCTCGATTATGGACACAATATCTCGCGCAGGACATGCCGAGAGATATGCAAACATGGATGGAGAACCACCTACGCATGGAAGAAACAGGCAAGGCGAGAAGTTGCCAACAATCATTCAACCTCCTTTGTACTAGGGTTTACCTGTGCCTTTCCCAGAATGAAAACAAAAAGGCCAAGGCTCTGCTCGACGAAGCACGGGAGATGTTTGATCGAGAGAACTCGGCTGATTATGCCAAGGCTTCTATGTTCTCCGCCCTTGCTGGTCTGTATATCAAACTGGATGAGCACGGGGACTTGAAGAGTCTCTGCGACAACGCGACGACTGGAGACTGGGAGTCGCTGTGGCAGAGTGATGTTCAATTCTCTTGCTATGTCGTCCTCATGAGGTGCTATGTCCACTTGAGAGACGGCCAACTCGACGAAACTGTGGCTCTATGCCAGCGGGCTTTGAATAAGCTGCAAAACTCTCGAGCGCCAGGTTCAGCACAGAGGCAGAGCGTGCTGATTATGTTGGGATCAGTGTACATGCTGCAGGAGAGGCTTTTGGAAGCAGAGAAACAGTTCGCTGCAGTTATTCAAGAAACAAGAGAATCCAAGCAGCAGTGTACGTCAGCCAGCTACGAACATGTCTTGGCCACAATGAGTGCTCTGGCAGAGCGTTATAAGGACAGAGGCGAGCAAGATAGTGTTCAAAGGTGTCTGAAGTTGGTAGAAAAATGCCAGGGTGAGCTAGTAAAGGCGAGGCACGGCGGACTGAATGGACAAAACAGCCAAAATGAAATTTTACAAGCATTACCTTCCACCACGCCGCCGCTATTGCGATTACACACACCACGCGCACCAGCAGCACCACCTCGATAGTTAGATCGCTTAAGGTGTTGCGAAGCGAAGCAGCATGCTAAGCTGTTGTACCTGTATGAGGGGATGATCCCAGGTGGATGGAGCTTCTTCGAAGCGGTCAAATAGTTCAGGATAAGGAGAGATCCTTAGGCGAGGTAGCGTTCACCCTGGGCACAAGTCCTTAATACACATCACTAGGGACTAATAACATTGCACACTGGCTAACTGAACAATGACTGGTAAAAATGAACGGAAGACCCTCCTAGCTTCTAGAGTCTGTGATATGTAATCTCTTCAGAGAGAGAATGTTATTGAATGAGGATCATAGTTGTAGTCTCTCGCAGGGCTAAGACCTAATAATGGAAGAGAAAGAGGCGAAGGAGGAAAGGTGTATAAGTAAGCATAAGAGGAAAGATGCAAGTATAGCGAATAGAGTCTTTTCATTTACCTGGGTCATAGCCTTCGCCGTCGCCGTCTTGCCCACACCTGGCATACTGTGAAGGAGGGCCACCTACTCAGACGCCTTGCCCTGGATTAAGTCCATGTTGTCTCGTTGCTTTTGAAGGTGACTCTTGACCAGTGCCTGGACCATGCGCTTATGTTCATTAATTCAGAGATTCTTGAAAACATCTGACTTGAGATTGACTTCAGCCATTTCCCATCGAGTTGCATAAAAGCCTTCTGATTCTTGAAGGAAATCGCAGGCCCAATTGAGTGAGGCAGCCATCACGAGCACCACAGGGAGTTAGGGACAAGCAAACACAGGCGAGCAGTTTTTGAAAGGAAGCATTCAAGTGCTCGTGATCTGTGTACGGAGTACAGATTAGTGTCTCACGTGAACACTTAGTTTACATAAGGGGCCCTTTGGACGTCAGAAGATGCCAGGTCAGCCAGACAAGGGGTGTGCGGTGTGTCGAGTGAGCAATATTCAGATTCAGGCCAGCTTCAGGGGAAATCCAGGCGAAGCGGGTGAACAGAGTGAAAACAGGGCGGCGAGGGCGCCTAGCGAGTCAAAAAAAGAGTTGAACTCCAACATACAACAGCTGGGGTTCGCTGGTGGTCACCCACCCAACTACTAACCGGCCGGCGTGTGGCTTCAACGCGGTCAAAAGGTTGGTGGGTGCAGCCATTATGTGACGCTGCTTTAAGTCGCGCGACCCTAGGTGAGTGCATATCAGTGAAGATAATTGCTTTGTGAGGTGCCCACTCATATACACTGCCTACTGAGGATAAGGGCAGCGAACAGTATTTTGGTACCCCTAGAAAAGGAATAAGAACTAAATGAGAATTGTATGAAGCCAGTGTTTGTGAAACTATGACTGACTTTATCACAGTGTCATATTTGCACGGTTTTACTGTGCAAGATATCTGTCACCTGACCTATATTTTTGCGCTCTGGTGTATCTGCCTTCTGTCTGTTTTTATTTCTAGACTCTGTTTTTACTAATTTGAATATCTGGGTCTGGAGGGAGATGATCTGCTTGGCGCTGTTAATGAGGAAGACGCATTTCTGAGAGGATCTTTCAGGGCAATATCTGTTCATGTGATGAAGCTTCTCAGGGTCAGGCAGCAATGGGACTTGAGCTACAAGAGAAATTGCATGACATAAAAAGCAGGCGGTTAACTAGCTGGCATTCTTAGTTTTAAGTCTCCGCCATACCCCTCCCTCTTGTCGGCCTAGTCATCCTTCTGCACTTTGAATTTATCTTCAAACTATCCTGATACAGTGGGATGCAAAAAGTATTCGACCACCTTACCTTACCGCCTACTATTAGCTAAACCTAATTAGGAAGGAGATTGATTCCATTCTAATATCTCGTATACCAACCATCTGCCTCGATAACTGCCTTCACCCGGTTAGGCATGGTCCTTGATAGCTTTTGAAGAATAGTAGTATCTATAGCTTGCCATGCCTCCTTAGCTGCAAGGATAAGTAATTGACG